TTTTTTTTCAGAAACTGTTTCTACTGGAGGTACTGGAGATTCTGCCATCACATCACAATTAATTTTAGGCTTTTTAATCAAGTAAAATACATGCACGAACAGAGATATCTTAATTGAAAAATAAAGATCAGCTTTGTACAGTTCACTATGTATAATTTACAGAAGTGGCATGTACTTTTTTATTTCTGTCACGGTGAATATAATTAAAAATGTGCGGGTATTTAACAAATGCAAGACAAATCGAACGAATATCAATCGAAAATTGATAATTCCAGTTATCGAAATGGCACATTTAAAAAATATTTTCTAAATGCATTTTTGAACGTAACAGATAGAATTGAAAAATCGACAAATTTTCTTATTAAATATTTAATTCATTTCTTTTCAATATCCGTCTCTTATCGATTTGTCTCGGATAGTTGATACCTGAGAACTATTTGTACCCGCACATGTAATAAGCTACAAAGTGCATGTATTTTACTTTTCTTAAATATATTTATTCGTAACCATCTTTCCATATAAAGATCGTTCTATTAATTTATTTTGCTATAAAGAGAAACATGCTTTTTAATAATAGAAGAACATATTTTTGTGTGAATTTATATCTCGCGTAATAATTGCATTAAGCGGAAAAGAGGTGACTGTCGTTGGTTCGCTGCCAAAATGACCGCTATCGGAAGCGGTCTGGAAGATCTGGGATTCGTTCCCTCTTGCAGCAGGGGTCTTTGACGTTTGACGAGCCGCTTAACTTTCCTTTGTGGATTGACCTCATGGGTCTCGAAAGAAGCAGAGTACCTTTATAGCTCGCTCTCCACCATGAAAATCGTTCTTCTCTGTGTCGGATACTAACCGACGTACAACTCGGCGGAAGGACATTGATCTGGTCAAATCGTTGGACCAGTTATTCTCTCCCTCAAAATCATTTCCCTCGTTAGGTTTGATAAAATTAAATCGTACATTATCAGACGAGTGAAAACCGCGCCGTTCTATTCATCGCTTAATACGAAGGAAAAAGTACCGTCTAATATGTCTAAAAAGGTAATTCATAATTTTCTATTTCAATGTTGACAAGTTCAATTTCCGTCGGAATATATACCCTTCCCGCTCTGACGCAATGTTATCTTTGCCAATGTAATCTCACCTCTACTTTATGATGCATCTGAGCTCCTCGTTCTCCCAGCGACGAAAGGGATCTCGGGAGAATATGCCGAGCACCAAACCCATCGAATATAATGCTCCGGTGGAAGAACACTGCAACAAATTGAAAACAAAAGCATCGATATAGCTATATCGTATTACACGGTAGGTATCTTAATATAAACCACTTCTGCATATCTGGTTGCACGACATCTCTTTTTAAACTAGCTTAGTTTATTCATTGGAACAACCGTACGTGAAATTTGCCATCTGCAATATTTATCCGGGAATAGCTTTGCTCGCGCAGAAGAAAAATAGATATTATATAAAAATAATTTATAATATGCACATCGTTGAAATCAAATGCATGGTGTCTGCGCGTTTATTTCCACGTTTCGTTAAAACAAATTCTATTTTAGAATTAAAAATAATTTCACAGAGGCGAATTCACAAATTAGAGAAATACGCAATGAAAAATATCGATGCGCACCGATCTTCAGTTTCATTTGTCAGTTGTTGATGATTGTGAATTACGTACAGGATGCATACGCAAACATGTAGATTAAAAAAGCAAGCAGCGCGTATCGTAGAGAAAGTTCCCAATAGAACTACCTCAAAAAATAAAGATAATTAAATTTTTATTACGCTTCCATGGATTCCATGGAATAAAAATGTCACGATACTCAAAAGTTGCACATCGATTTACGCGTCTACGCGGGCTTTTGAATAACGAATCTATGTGCGTATAAATCCAGGATTTATTGCCTTTTTACCATTGTTAACGCAGTTTATTTCGAGAGAGAGAGAGAGAGAGAGTTTATATAACAAAGTTCTCTCCCATAGTGAATCGATGTAAACGATCAAGAGCAAACTCCAACGTAAGCTGTTATTTTTTTTTATTTTCCACTGTTGCGAGGTGTATGTTTCACGTAGGTATCAGTTGCGCATTCCGTATAACTTGAAAAATTTCACCTCGTGAAATAAAATTTGGAAAATTGCATCGCGAACGCGAGATAACCTTGCGAGGCAAAATCCTCGAAGCGCAGTATGTGATATACAGAATGTCCTCTCATAAACAGAGTGCGTCGCTTCGCAAACAGCGAACTTAAGCACTCGCAATTTGCATTATCGCGCCGTTAAAGTTATCTGATTGAGATTATCGGCGGATAAATTAGAAAGCCGTTGAAACACCGCCGTTAATTTTAACTAATAGCTGTTGGACAAATCTCATTAAAATCAGAATGACGTACCGCTTTAATCACTGACCGTGGCCGGCACGTTTACGTTTGCACAGAAGACGCGGGGTGTGTATAGGTATACGCGCGTTTTGTAACATATGGCCGACGGTAATCATCAAGAATCCCGTTTAGCCATATATGTCGTCCACCAATTTGCGTCACGGCAATTGGCCGCGAAATTTAATCGCGTTATCGGGAGAGATTTTCCCCATTGACAGTTGCGTTGCGTGACGGTTCGCCAATTAAATATCCTGACAGGCAGAGTAGCAAATTTGCCCAACGGCTGCGGCTTATGCAAATGTAATTTCGGTCGAAAATATCGGAATTTGTTCTCAAATCGCGCCCTATGACGTGCCCTGCGCAAATACTCCAAATTCTCCAAAAGCAGCTCAGTAATGTTTCATTTAAATTTACACGAGGTATCAAAAGGATTTAAATACTTAATCACTTTTTAACGCGTATTTCAATAAACAACCCTTTGTATAAATTTCTCAAAATATCTTTTTTTCACTTATACATATGTATACAGGAGTAAAGTCAGAACCTATATGGTGTTATTAAAGTAGAACTGTCTATGTAATTTCTTAGATGCGCTTCAAATAGCAAAAGATTGACCTTATATATAAATAACCAGCATTAAAATAGCATTTTAATCCTTAAATATCATATGATGCAAATTAATACTCACGGTATGAAGATATACGTGTAATAACTTACTATTATACATATATATGTGCAAACGTATCTCGTATTTTAGAAACAAAAAAAAAGATTCCGAAACAAGAGCCTCTAAATTTCATTGGAAACTTATTTACAATATTTACAGTATAATCGATCAGTTCTTTTGCTATTTCATTTATCTCTAATTAAATTGATTTGTAAAACTGGGACGCTATTCTCGCATTCACGTTGTCCTTAATAATCGTAGGATCGCGTTTTTCGACGGCAAACGAAGTTGCATTGTAGTTACGCGAAAAAGAAACAGTGCCTGCGCCATTGGATGGAATATTGATCGAGAGGGTGTAGAGAGACCCTTACGCCGACAGCGGGTCGCGAGCCAACCCTTACGTAGGCTCTCTCGCATACTCGCATTATGGCCTCGGATGGCGACGAAATCAGGACCATTAGGCTGGAACGCGTTAATGTTTTTGCGTTTTTTCGTTATAATCTCGCCCCAACATCTCGCACCGGTAATTGCACACGTCCAATTACTGTCCAATTACTGTGTTATGCAGAGTGTTCCGGTAAATCGTGGTAACAAGGAGATGATTCCTCACGAGGAAAAGCAAGTAAAGAATATAGAATAACATTGTTTTCTCGAGTGCGCGCTGTAGCTTTCGAGAGAAAAGGTTTCACACGTGAAAGTGGTGTATGTGTATGTGTGAGAGAGCGTCCATTTGACCATAAATTGACATCTACGTGCGTCTATTATCTAGTAACACGTTTATTACACATGATTTTACAATTGGTTGACGATACGTATACCTGTTGTGATTTCTATAGTCATCGATATCGTTAATTTTCACTGATCTCTCGAAATGGCAAAGTACCATCGCGGATATATAAAGTGGCATTAAGACCTGATGGCATATTTTTATCTACGAGCAATTATTAGAAACATTTAATTCTAACCGACGCACAAATGTCAATTTAATTAAGTAGATAGACCAGGCTTTCACGTTTAAAATCACTTTTCTCGCGAATTACACGATCAGTCAAAAGAGACAATTGTTCTATTTTTCTTTATTTGCCTTACCGCACGTTGTATTGTGAACATATATCTCTCAGCTGATGTTAATAATATTTAAGGACTTGCTCAGATAATAATGTTATCTAAACGAGAATTTTTTTTCGAATCATCAGCTGTAATCTTTATATGTTCACTTTTAAGATTCTCAACTCCCCTACATAAATCAAGCTTGAGATGAGACCAAGGATTGAGGATACTAACTGACCGTTGAAAATGAGTTTGTTGGCCGGCTGAAATTTGTCAGTATCTCAAAACCTTCTAAATCCCTTTCGGTTCGGTAGCGCCCGATCGATTTTGCTTTTGAGAATCGAAGTTACGATGCGTCGGGGTGTGTAGCAGCCAGCACCGGGAGCCTCTCTCTTTCGACGGGGAGACAAAGGGACGCAGAGAGAATGGAAACCGCCACCTTGATGCTCGTGGTGAACCACGATAATTGGATCAGCCCACCCCTATGAGTCGCGACTGAAATTAAGTAACCTCCGGCGCGTATTCCTGCGACGGGCTGATGATTTCGTCGGGGACGACAACCTGAAAAGCTCGCCCGACACCGCGAAATAATGTTAGCGCGCGCGAGAATGAGGCAGTCGGGAATATAGGAGAAAATGCAACAAACGCTCCGTGTATAAAATCGCTGATAAAGCACGGGGAGCAAATGATTGCTTAAATTTAAAAAATGTCGTTTTCTTGATCATATAATATCGTATACGTATGCCGAGCACTTTCGTATAGCAGCAAAGAATATAGTAATTGAATTACATAAAAGTCACGTAATTCTGCTGGAAAATAAAATAAAATTGTAGAAAAAAAAATTACGCTTCGCGACTGCATCGGTGCACTTTTGCAAGAATCGCAAGAATGCAACTTGGATCGCCGAAAGATGAAGCCGTGTAAAGTTTTTTTGCTATAATTTTCTTTCTATTCTCGCTTAAATAAAAGAAGGGAGCTGTGACTCGTCACCTCCCCTCCCCCCCCCCTTTTGCGAAATCGCTCCCGTATAAATCAACTCCGTCGTATGGGCGCAGCGCGCGAAAATATTTTTCCCCGGTATTATAAATATTACATCTCGTTAGGTCGGCGTTACGCGAGCCCGCCTTAAGAAAGGACTTAAGCCGTCAGAATGGCAGGGCCGTAAAGAAAGCAAGCGGAAAAAGCTTCTTCGGCACCACGGAGCGAGGAGCGCGCTTTGTGCGGCCGCGCGCGTCTTGCGTCGCGACAAAGCCACCCGGAGTCGTCGGGAGGGGCAATTTGTACAGAGTGCTTAAGTTACACGTATTAGTCACAACGTCGTACTTTCGCAGTAACGACCAATTATATCATGAAAGAAGTCAGGGTGCTGTCCCAAATCGAGCCCTTTCTACCTGAATTGATCAATTCTTTGGAATCGAATTCCTTGAATTCTTCTTTCAACAAAGACTCGGTTGATTCCTGCGAAACGATCGTAAGATTCTTCGCGAATTAAACTTCGCGGAAATGGAACAAAAGGGTAAGATAAAACTTTCTTCACTTTTAACGTCGAAATATTCATATATTACGTGACAAGAACTTGTTCTTCTTTTCCGCGATTGTGTCTTGAATTCGCATGTAAATAGGAAGGTAAGTTAGATAGATAGTTCAAGCAAGAAGCAGATTTATAATGTTTCCTTCCACTAGGAAGAAAATATCTCAAAGAACTTAAAAAGAGTATATTAAGCAGTCGGACTTTACTTTGAATTTCTAATTGGAAAATTAGTTACAGTGATATTTTAATGCAGAAAGTAGTTTACTCGCGCGTAATGGTGATAGAGGATATCGCTGCAACGGTGTAAGATGTAAAGCTTAGATGTTTTCTTCGCGCAGGAAGTAGCATCGGAAATTCCTTTCGATGCCCGGCAACAACAAAATACCCGAGGTTATTACTCGGTTGCGCGAGTAGACAGATCCCCGGGGGTGAAAAGTAGTTTTCAAAGCGTCTAGTCTAACAATGGGACGTAGGAAAGGGGGAGGGATGATGAAGGGGAGGGGGAGGAAGAGAAAAACGACGGGTATGAAAAGCGTCCCGGAAAATAAAGGGTAGATACGGTGGAAAGAGCATGCGGAAGACCCGAGGAATTCAATGCCAAGGTTGGCGTACATACGAAGGTAAATCGATATTCAATACTCCACGTATGTACGAGGCGACAGTGACATTTGTACAGAGAATTTAATCGTATTTTACAAATGATATCCTCGATTTCACTCTGGCTGGTGTCTCGAATAAAATTAATTCGCGATCGTAAGTCCGCTTCGTCAAAAAAGCTACCTTCGTAACTGTTCGAAACCATAGAAAGATTATTTTAAAAGCGCATCCTAAACTTTCGAAGTAACTGCAAACGATTTGATAAAATTATCTTGTAGAAAAATTATTTGCATACAGAAACGGTTAAAAAAAATTATTAATTATAATAATTAATTTTTGCTTTATGAAAATGTAAATATCGAAAGCTCGGGAGAAAGATACGTCGCTATTACTGAGCGAATTTAACTCGTGACACTTTCTCCAATGGAGATGTCAGCTTTGAATTTCTGTATAGAAAAGTAAAAAATTTCTGAGATATTATATTTATGAGAATCTTTCTCCAACGTCAGTTTATATAAAATCTTTTTCCTGAAATTTTTAAGATATATCACGGATATAAAAATATGATTATAAGATAAATCGCATCTTTAATACGTTCTTTCGAGCTCTTCGAGATTCTTTGTTCCCCAGTGAAGAAATATTACAAATCTGTTTCTCGCTCGAGCTAACCAGTGAAATTCGTGCGCTGAATTCAAGACACAATTGTGGAAGAACAATAGGTTTTTGTCATATATGATTCTCGTTTTCCAGCTCGTTTCGCGTAGTAAACATTTCGCTTTCCGTCGTATATATATATTTCCGGATTATACATCCTATACGGGATGTACGTTGCGCTGCTCGCGAGTGTTTTGTGGCTTCGATTGATCTATCCGATTGGACGAAAGAAATCAATCGTGTGTATTGTTCCGTGAATGACGTCGATAGGCTCTATTTGATACCATTTGAATGAGAATAAATTCTACCGCGAGCACCGCATTTTCCAGACTTCGCAAATTTAACAGATATTCAATGATGCAAAATCTTAAACTGTCAATCAATTAAATAACAACTCAACCGAACGAGAGAGTATTAAATGGTTAATGATTAATAGAGATGAATATGTTGATGTTAAAATTATCGCTCAGGTAAACATTATTATAAAATTGTTAAATATTCACGACATAATTAGTTATAATTATGACTTAAACAGTACTGCAGATAAAACTCTCATTTTTACTCAATCAAAATTTATATCAAAAATTACATAAATGTTTATAAATACATACCATATCGATCAGATAAGAATATTTTTAGAAACATTTCGTTTTTAAATTTTACAGAACAGTATATATATTATCTTAAACAATTGTAGCATTTGCTACAATTTTACAACTTGAATTTGAAAAAATATTTTTAAGAGGCAATATTTCTAATCCTCGCTCCTAAAAATTCTAAGCTTCCATTTTATTTTAATTGCCTACTTTTTTATCGTAAACATCGCGTTTGAAAGAACTGATTGCATACATTGCATGTTCACGATTGTAAATAGGAGAGCAGAAGCAACGAAAGATCGTTGCTTCTCGATTCCGAAAATAACGATCAAATGCGGATTTTCCGCCGGGGGCATGGGCACGTTCTTAAATCCTGCCTAAAGCGAGCTATTCGGCGTATACAGTGTACTCCTCATGCAAAATGTAGCCGAGGTTCGAGACAACAGCGAACAGAACGGAATGGTATGCGCCCGAACTTTCCCGATAGCGGGATAGAATTCGCAGATTGCATGCTAAAACTTTCAGGGACGAGGCGAAACGAGGAGTGTGTTTTAAAGAAAGACAAAAAAATCAAGTATGAGGCTAATAATAAAATCGTATTCATGCCAATCGCGTCTACTGTATATAGAATGATACTTTCTTAGCGGCGATACAAACGGAGAGAAAAAGATCCTACGTGAAAAAAAAGATAAAAAACAAAAAATAAAATCTCTCACGAAGCTTCGTTTTAAAGGACTTTTAAAGTTGGAAAATTAATATGCCATTGCTAGCTTGGATAATGTTTGATCACTTCAGGATCTCTAAAACATCCAATTGTATTTATCATACGTATTTTTTGTTCATATTCCGATGCGTCATAATAATAAAATTAAATTTGGCAACGCGATAAAATTCATTATCATCAATTCAATAAATGAGCTAGAATTGATTAGTCGACGAATCTTGATCTTTTACTCTCGGTAAAAAAAAAATCCGTCTTAAGAAATAAGAGATTAAACAACGATTGTCCGTTCGTCGCAATTGCGACCTTCTTCCTGCAGCATTCAATGCGGAATACACCCTCCTTTCTCCTCTCCCCCCACCCCTTGTAGTCGACTGTACTTTTGCTAGCAGCAAGGGAAAAGGCACGTTAGCACGTGACTTGAATTCGTTTTACGAACTCTCCGCAACCGCGCATATAGAGTTCCCCCGTTTTAGGCGGTCGCATTGCACGACATAAAGTGGAATCCATTTCTCTGAGATAAACTACGGGAAGTGTTGTAAGAGAGTTGTAACAAGAACAAATAGGTAGAATAAACTACAACCATCAAAATAAAAGAATAACATTAGATAGTAATCATTAAAGTCGTGAAATTTGGAACAAGAATTATTTATAAAAAAATGTTGAATATTTATTACTGTTACCTATATCGTGAAACATTGTTAAGTTTGCCATAAGAAAAACCGAATATTCAGCTCGTGAATATTATCTAAAAAAAAAATATATATATATACTCATACATCGTCAACGCAACAGTATTACTTTTCTTTACTTCCAAAATAACACAAATATATCACAAGACGGTTCGACTTACTTCCGTTCGACGGATATCGTGATATTGATAAAATAAAAGTCGATTATCTTTTCGTTTCAATTTTAAGATAAGCTATACAACAACATGTGAATATAAATTAAAGCAAAATACTCCTGAGAGCACCAGAACAAATTTTTAATCGTAATACGTAACACCGGAAAGAGTAATCGACGCGATTACGTGTATTAGATTAGCGTTAATTGATCAACTCGAGACCAATCCTTTGACGTGCCAGTTCGATGGTAACTACCTTCACCTCCACACGCTCGCCTATATGCAGATCTCTCTTCATACGAGTGACGTGTATCAGTCCCTCCTTACCAACGCCCACGTCTACAAATGATCCGAAATGCGTGACGTTCCGCACGACGCCGCTCAATACGGTGCCGACGGTCAAATCTTCGATACGCCGCACGCTGTTGCGGAACAGCGGCTGGTTCAACTTCGATCGTATGTCCTCGTCCTTCTGCATGGTCAGAGCTTTAATCATCGTCTCCATCGTGGACTCGAAGGTGCCGAACTGCTCGGCTAGCTCCCTGCATCCAGTCCTCGCGTGAAAATTTATCCTCTCGATAAACGCCGGAGTGCCGATATCGTTCAGGTCGCATTGGCAGTGTTTCACGAATTTATTCGCTAACGCGTACGACTCCGGATGGATCCACGTCTGATCCAGGGGATTAAAGTCGCTCTCCGATCTCTTGCTCCGCTCCGACGACGTTTCGCTAACCATCGCCGTCTCCGGCAGAATCCTTATGAATCCGACACACTGTTCAAACGTTTTGCTACCGATACCCTTCACCTTCAACAACTGCTCTCTATTTCGGAACGGTCCATTCTTGGTTCGCCATTCTATGATCTTAGTGGATCTGGAAAGCGTGAGGCCGGCTAGTCGTTGCAGAAGATAATGCGAAGCTGTATTGATATCGACCCCTACAAAACTCACAACCTCTGTGATAACCTGTAACAATTGATACGAATATCTCTCTGCTACACATCGAATCTCTCCCCAAAAAGCTACCGCGTTATTGCCTGAGAAATTTTTTAACGAGTCTTTGACCATCATCTTTGTTTTTAACAAAAATAGAATGTAAGTTTATCGTGCGTACGTTTATTTAGATTTTTAAAAATTATCGCTAAGAGAAATATCTACTTCGAATTTATAAAAAAAAAAGGCATTAAAAAATTATGTAATTATTTTTGTACGTCTATATAACAGTTCGTTATCATGTAACGTAATCAAAATTCTTTACCAAACTAACATTAAACAGCGGATTCATACTAACTTCGGATAGCGTCTTCGTCAGTTTCGTCTCAGGTAGATCGTGTTGATACATCCCGACTCCTAAATGCTTGGGCTCTATCTTAACTAATTCCGCCAGCGGGTCCTGCAGGCGTCTCGCTATCGAGATAGCCGACACCAGGTTCGGATCGAGATCCGGGAACTCGGATTTCGCCTGCGGGCTACAACTGTAAATCGAGGCCCCGCACTCGTCAACAATGGTGTACATCGCGTTCAGCGAGCCGAGCACCTTCGACCCAATTACTTTTGTCAGAAACAGCTCGGTCTCCCGGCACGCCGTGGCGTTTCCCAGAGCTATTACCGTGCATCTGTATTTGTTCATTAATTTCGCTAGCGCGCCGGCCGCATCTCTGAATGCCGACGGATGGTTATTGTGCGGATATATCACGGCGGTCTCGAGAAGGTCGCCCTGCCCCGACACGACGGCGAGCTTGCACCCGTGACGGTAGCCCGGGTCTACGCCGAGAACGACTTGACCCCGCACGGGCGGGGTGAGCAGCAGCTGCTTGACATTGGTCGCGAAAACCTCTATGGACGCTTTCTCCGCGTTCTCCTTCATCTCGCTCCTTATGCGACGTATCATCTGCGGCTTGATCAGCTTTTTGTAAGCGTGATCGATACTCTCGTCGAGTAAATCCCAATGGAATGTTTTTTTCCCTCCTCGCTCCTGCGTGTACCGCGACAAGCAATGCCTCTTGAACTCGCGCTCGAAAGCGTCGGACACGACGATCTTCACGCTGATGATCTTCTGCGACTCGGCCCGATTGATCGCCAATATGTGATGCGGCTTAACGATGTTCACGTTCGACTTGAAATTGAAGTACTGCTCGTACTTCTGCCCGTTCGCGTTGCTCGAATCCTCCGCCGTTTTACATTGCGCCGTTTGTATCTCGATGGTCGACGTTTTCCGAAGGAACGTCACCTTGTCGAAGGTCTCCTTGTCCTTGCTGATGACATCCGCTATTATGTGCACGATGCCGCTTCTCACCTCTTGCTCGTTTCGCAAACCCTCCCTCTGTTCGTCCACCAAGGACGCCAACGACGGTACGTTCTGCCCCTGTAAAATCGCATCGGCCGCACCACCCAGGCCCAATCCGCGCGCTTTCTCCGCCAGAAGTCGTCTCGACGCCGAGGGCTTGTACAAGGAGTAAATGTGCTCGAGATCGGCAAGGGATCTCGTGGACATGACAGCGGAGTGTAGTTCCGGTGACCATTTCCCCAATTTGTCGATGCTCTTGATAATCGTCGCGGCACGAAGCTTGACAAGCTTCGCCTGCTCGAAGCTATCCAGAAGCGCTCTCAACTTGTCCGCGTCCATGGATCCGGTCATGTTCTTCCTGTATCTCGCGATAAAGGGTATAGTGTTGTCCTCCTTGAAAAGTCTCACCACGTTCTCCACGATGCGTCTGTCCACATTGTTGATTTCGCTCATGTAGTCAACGTCGGTCCATTCCGCGCACTGCGGAAGGGAGTTCAATACCTCTCCTAAATTCACGTCTTCCTTTGCGTGAGCTTTGACTAGATTCTTTCGATTTTCCTGCAGCACCCTCGCGTCCGTAGAATCAACGTGCGACGAGTCTTCCTCTGGCTTCAGTCTTTTGTTGCTAAATGTGCTCTCCGAGCAGTCTTCTTGATTTTTTCTCTTGACAGATTTAACATCTTTGTTCTGTGTACCTCTCGTCATTCTGTTCTTTCCTGGCACTCTCTTATTGGCTGCGATTTTCTGTTTCCTGTTACTTTGCTCTACCACATAGTCCTCATCTTCGGAGCTTTTAGATACCTTACAGTCACTGTCGTCGGAATCTGACAGCTCAATTATTACCTGAGTGTGCTTACCTCGCAAATTTCTTTTCATTTTTGCGGCGTTTTCTTGTCTGTCAAATCAACAAAACAATTTCCTCACAAATCCATGTACAAACAAACAAACAACAGGTATCTCATTTGCTCTTCTTACAATTGCATTACTATATACTTTGTGATAAATATATGGACGTGTAACAATCGTATTAATAAGATTACCAATAGAAATCGGTATAAATATAAAACTACTCAATATGTTCGCAACGATTCTCTTAAAACTTTGTTCTTTTACATATTCCAAACTGTAAAATATCTATTCCACTGTGCACATTCGGCACAATGTATCTTTACAATAGAGCCGGTTTCATAGAAATAAATATCTCTTTCATGTTTAAAAAAAGTTAGATTGATTCGATGATATTAATTGTCATATAGTGTGACTATTGGATGTGTATTACCTAAATAATTTGAACTATAAAACTCGACGTAAACTCTCCACAACGATGCGAATCCTCGGCGTGAATGACGATCCTAACCTAATGCAACGTGACTGGAGGGAATTGTAAACACACTGACACGGTAAACGTGGCCGATATTGAAGATTTCCTTTCCAAGACGCCCCTGCCATCTTGACGACGTTACGTACACTCGTTGGCATGCAAAACGTAAAAGGGGAATGAGGATCGAAATTTTACAGCGCAAAAAAAAGTATTAGATATTATATATTTCTCTAAATATGAGAAAAGCTAAAAAGATACGAAAAATAATATAAAAATATCAAGAAATAAAATAAAATTGCTAGTATTTCTCCTCTCTACTCTCTTCTCGATCCTCTCCTCGTCTCACTTCCTCGCCCTCTTTCGCGTAATTTTTTTTCACAGCGAGAAAGCGGAAATTAATATCAACGCAACCAGTTAAACGCTCTAACGTACCTGAACGATGATATGTCAATGCCTCTCTTTCGCAGTACACGAATCACCAAACTTCAGCGGGACACTCAACGCGATCGCGATATTTCGTGTGCATTCGATTACGCGCAGTGTTGCACTACCGCAGACACGTACATCATTTTATCCTTCTTATTCACCGAATATTGAACAAGGATAAAATGATACAGTTGGGCAGAGTGAATCTGCACCAACGAACGCAGCCCTTTACGTACGAAAGCGATAATCGGAGAGAGAAAAACGCGCGGAGCGTTTCGAACCCGACGCGCGACGCGTCCCGCGAGCGCGGAAAGAGACCCGAGAAAAGACTTGTAAAAGACTTGCCGCAGCCTATGTATCGTTGCCATGCCCGAGTTGACGCAGTTAGAGCGGTCGACCGCTAGATGGTGCGGTGGTTGCCGACGCCGCAGGTCAATGGCGTGAGGCATCATGTGACATGTCGTCTTTCAGGTTTCTCTCTGCCTGCAACCTGCAATAGCATCAGTTTTCATCTTTTTTAACGTAGAAATGAATATGAATTCAATAAAGATATTAAAAATGATCGAGAGTAATGGCAAATAAATTGTCACAATTCGCTGGATTTTCATTATTCGCGCTCTTTAACCTACATTTCTCTTGTCGAGGCATACTTTGGAGGTTACGTTAGGTCGGATTACAGTTCAAGATGATCGGGGCTGGGGATTAAGGTTGAGCTAGTTTCTGTATTTCAATTCTACCGTCACGTGTGCGTCGGCGTTTAATAATCCAGCTAATTCATTCCCGATTTGCATCGCATCGCCCGCTTGACATAATGCTAGAGCAGTATCGACAGTTAATTAGGCTACTGAACAAACAAGCGAAGAGACACGTGGTGCTTCACAACGCGAAGGGGATCGTAGAGAATGCCGCGGAGAAGGCGCAGAGCAAGCTCGCCAGCGCGCAGAACATTGCAACCGAAAAATACAACGTCGTTACGAAAGTAAGTAAATAAAAATTGGATGTAAAAACGCGGATGTAACACAGCATCTTTATTTCGTACTTACTGATTTCCATTGATAAACGCTAATTTTTCCAATCAATTTTTCAATCTCGTTCAAAGACAAACAAACGTAATGTGAAATATATATATGTATTTCGAATTTTACAATGCCTCATGCATTTACGTAAAATTATCTCGTGAAATCATTTATCAGCGAGCTATCCAAAATTTTTCAAAATTGAAATTTTTCTAGATTGGACGCCAATTGGCGCAGTACAAATTTTATGAAGTCGCATTCATTTCATAATTTTATTAAATTTTTATACTGGCATTTCGTAATTTTCCTCTCTCAACAATATGCTATAGACGAAGTTCATTTCATAATTTCATTATTTTCCTCAACATTGTGCTATAGACAAAGTTATATTCCAGCATCAATCTAAAACTTCATCCAAGACTTTTTATTTTTAATTATTAATTGCTTGAAATTTCCAAGTTGAATTGATTTTTTGATTCAAGATGAATCTATTGTAAATTTATTCAACAATTTGAAAATCCTTGACTAAAAAGGAAGAACGTTTTGCAGTTGAAGTTGCAATTTCATATACTGTATGTAAGACAATTCTCGCATAAAATTAATTCTAATATTGCAGAAACTTAATGACCAGGCTGTCATAATTCAAGATTTAAGTGCCAAGGCGTTGGAAGCAAGTGCGCCATTGCCGCCGTTGCCAGGAAAAATCGTTAAATGGTGGCAATGGTACAATCAGTTGATAGGCATGGACACAGTTGAAGCAGCCAGAAGACGAGTGATTGTCCTCCAGGATAAGCTGTTCGAGTGTCAGGACAGCAGGAGAATTCTGAATAAAGAGCTGACAGATATCACGTACAAGCTGCAAGATATCTATGCGGAATTGGTGCAAACGAGGCGAGATGATCCCAAGTATGTGCAATTAACGATAGTGGAGCATCAGTCTTTGCAGGAGCAGAAGAAAGTCATTAATCAGCTGGCGTTGTCCGAGAAAGACGAGAGGGACAATTTTACACAGCTCGCGACCGCGATAAAGGACTATCACGTTAGCCAAAACTTAAATGCGCAGAAGTACAAGTATTTATCTATTATCGCTTCGGCCGTATTGGCGATCGTATCGTTGATCGGTTCGATGATACTTAATAACAGGAGGATACTAGATGTACGAAACACCATAGAGATAGCGCAGGAGAAGAACGAATCGTTGTTTCAGACGAGCACGAACCAGCTATCTGATCTTAAAAAAATGTTGCAGTCATTCGATACCAAGTTAGCAAATATCGATAAGAAACAAAACGGAAACGCGGTAGATTTAACCAAAGAAAGCAATCAATCCAATACGTCGATATCCAACATTTTCGTGTCTTCTGCCAAGTATTCAGCAAATTTGTTGATTTCAGGAACGAGTTATATCAAGAGAGGTATTTATGCGTGCGGATCGTACATTTTTTATAAATAACTATATATATCGTTAAAAATTCATGATTGTTTGAATATACAAGTCAAATTTATGCAAGTGTTTCTTTTTTTCTGACATGTAATGAAGCTAAGTTTTTTACAGTCGGTAATATATGGATATATATATATTAGAACTTGAGAATGTTATAAAAAAATTACTATTGATAAAAATGTTAAGAGTGAAACACAGCTTTTTTTCGTGATGAAAACTGTGCTTGCTGTACACTTGCCAGGCACAAAGAGCTCCCTATTTTTTATAACTTATGTACATAAATGTGTTAAGAGCATTTTTGTTTTCACTGGGATACTATTGTATTATAACGTTGTATAATTAGCTGTAAATTATAAATCTCGTTAAATCGAAATGTTACACAAAAATCGTATTATAAGCAAACTATAGTAATTTTATATATTTCGTACAAAAAAATATAATTTTTAAAGGGAAAAGTTATCATATTACGAAAAAAGTAAATCAATAAATGTCAATATATGTATATATCTTCTTAGAATAATAAAATACATGTTATACAGAGATATGGTAATTAAGAATTAAACGTGATTATTGTATACAAGAAACAATGAAAATTCAATTTAAGATATCAATTTTGAGTTACGAATCCCAAGATTTCCACTCCATTCCGTCTGGTGGTTTTCTCTCGACTGTTTTACCTCCCACTTCTTTCCAATTAGTGCTCAAGACAGTGCCGCCAGATTCTAGCTGTAATATAAAATAAAATAATCTTGACAAATATCGGGTATTACATTGATTTACAGGTACAAGTTAATTTCTAATGAATTGCCGTTATTAGAAGAAAAATTCCGAATTCTCATAACAAATTTTTAGTACATTAATTTTCACTTGCCAATATACAAATGTCTTAATAAAAGTGTTTCAATTTCATATTAAAAATTTATGTTCAGTGAAAAAAGCGAATTGTTACATAAAATAGCTACAATTTCTTTTGTCACTACTTAATTTGTCGACAATGAACTTTTTTTTTTACTTACGAAGGACTTGTTCATCGCGCGTCTCACTTCGTCGGTTCCGTTACCGTATATCTGTTGGAAGAGAGCATTCACCGCAGCCTCACCCTCAGTTTCTTCTGCTTTCTCCTGCTTCTCTATCTCCTTTTCTACCTTATTCCAATCTCTGGAGCTTTTACTGGAGCTTGGATACTTAGGTGCTTGTTCGCCCAGTTCTTCCTGGTTGTTTCCAGTTTGTTCTTAAATAGTACACACAGTTTAGAAAAAAATATAATTATCTATATATTTTTTTATGGATTCATAATGACAATGCAGAAGAAATACATCATTGAATGATATTGAATGAGATAGAAGTCTAAGAGTCTTATTGCCTCATAAAACAATTAAAAATGTTAGATATTAATGACGAAAGTGTATTGATAAATTTTAATATCATCTTGAACAAGCACTTGCCAAATGTTTTATTAACAAACATTTTTGTCTCATATTTTATCGTTTAATATTTTATCTCGAGCATCTTTCGATAAGGAAATGAGTGATTTGCAATAGCATTTGGTATAGCTTACCATTTGGTATAGGTTTTATTTTACTTTGGACTGGATTACCTTCCAGCGTTGTCCATCTAATGCCATCCCGTTTTTTCAGCTTGATGTCTATTCTGGACGGCCATACCTTGTGCGTGCATTGTTCCACCACTATAAAGTTAGCCAAGCGTAAGTTCAGGCTATATACATTGGTGGATGGTAACTTCGCGGACACGCTCAGCTGAAAAACAATGTATAATGTGATGAAAATTGTGCTTTACAACCATAGTTCAAAATTTCACCTAAGTTTCTTGTCATTAACAATCTTGATCTGTAATATTATTTAAGGATCCCCCTGTAATATTATCCAAGGATCTGTAATATTATCTGAGGAATGAGATCCCTCAAACTAGTACAAGGTTATCCGTTTTGAATTATTCAGATATCTGAAGAATTTGAGATTGCGCGAAAAATATATAACTTGGAGAGAAAAGAAAATAACATTATATGGTATTTCTTAGAATCACTGAGATATTATACTGTCATTGGAGGCTTTAAATGACTATAATTCAAAATTGTATCTAAGTTTCTTGTTATTAATAATCGTCTCGATCTGTAATATTATCCAAGGATCACAAGATATCCCAAATTAGTACAAGATCCATTTCGAATTATTCAGATATCTGAAGAATTCGAGATCGCACAAAGTGTACAATTTGGGAAGCAAAGGAAATGCTTAACATTATGGTATCTTAGAATCACTGAGATATTATGCTGTCCCCCGTTGGAGGCTCCCTCCGCCAAATAAACCGACGAAGATACGTACTGTACTCTCTCCGTATTCGACCTCCACATTTTCCATATTCTTGGCGAGTATCGTCACAACCACGTGGTCCTCCGTTTGATACCAGTCGTGTTTTATTTTCGGTACGTCGGGCGGTGGTATCTGCGAGAAATCACGACCTCAATCAACAGCGATCAACCTCTCCCTCGTGGTTATGTTTTTTCGTTAAATTATTCACACTGCTTACATTCCCTTCATTGTTCTCCGTTTCGATGATGATCCCCGCGTCCATGGTGCGCCCTATTGCTCGAGCATGTCTCGTTAAATGTCAAATCAACAATCCTCCTCGACCTTCTCGTATATTCGAATGATCCTAGTTATAGCAGACCAGTGGACCACCGGATATCTTCGCCTTGGAGGGATGCTGGCAAAACAACAAACTGGCTCGTCGTCCGTCGATGCTCACGCAGTCGGACGCGCATGGTCGCGTGTCCTCGAGATCGACTGCCGATTGGCTGCTTCAATTTTATTTACACGTCGATTCTCAGTCATTTACGAGTAATTTTGAACCGCGAAAAGTCAAGCTTAAATTAAATTGAAATAAAATATTTAATAATTTATCCATTGTAATTTTTACACTTATATTTATCACTTGTTTATTTTTTTAACATACTTATGGTTTATTTCAATCGCGTACAATTAAAATAATTTTCAATTTGTTTAATTATACGTTTCTTATTTATAATTTTTAATTATCATTCTTTATAAATGGGGCATCATGAAAATCTGCTTTAAAGCGATGCTAGAAGTGGAAGGTCGAAATTACCGACATTACATTTATATGAATATCTCCGAATTGACTGAACGGAATTGAAAATCCTTTCACAGAATTGAAATAGACATGAAATATAGTAACGCGATGAAGGAATTTGTAGTAAAAAACGAAAAAAAAATTTAAAAAATATTTTCTTCTTTTTCGTTTTTACTACAAAATCCTTCGTTCCATCGCTGCATTTCATGTCTATTTCAATCCTGTGAAAGGATTTTCAATTCCGTTCGGTCAATTCGGAGATATTCATATAAATGTAATGTCGGTAATTATGACCCGCCAGCATCGCTTGTCGCTCGCGGGCTCCTATTGGCGGACGTCAGCGACATCTCCGACCGCGACTTCGGGCCGCGCGGCAGCAGCTGTTCGCGCGCGCGGCGCTCTCTCGCGAACAGGTGCGTCTTCTAGGTAGGCGCGACATGCCCCGTGGCCAGTGCAACAGCGACTGATTTCAGAATGGCGACTGTCTTCGTTTAGGAGTGCACTGCCTTCACGCTCGCTCCGTGGCACTCCGTGTGACTGACGTCGTGTCCGCGAGGCCTTCTATGCCCGACCGTGACGCGGAACCCGCCGAGAATGATAATCAACAATCCGGAGGCTTTCAAGGCGTGGCTCACCGGCGTGCTGGCGCCGCTGTAAGTAGGCCAGTCCGTGTGGTTTCCCCCCTGCGTGGTGAAGTGCACCACTCCGCGCTTATGTGTTACCGCGCGGGTCCCGGACCTCGTAAATATGCCGTACGTGCGGCCGCGCCGCGTTCCCCGCGTGACTGCGGTGGCCCGCACGGTTTATTTACACGAGGGGGGTCGCACGTCGCCGATTAATGCTCGCTTCTGCGCCCTCCACCCCCTGTCTCTCCCGTCCCCTCCCTCCTGTCGCACCTGTCTTCTCACGTTCGCAACCAACATTCTCGCCCAGCTTCCAGTTCTAGCGATGCCTAGCGATGTCTAGCGAATAATTGTCTCTCTCTGTTGCTTGACCGATTTGCCAATTGGGTACGAATATTAAATTCTGGGACCGTATCACGCTGTTACTTTGTTGGTCCCTCGTTTAGTACGTCGCAAGCAGTGCACAGTAGTATTATGTATTGGATTGAGCAAATGAAAATGTTGTCTCTTGCTTGCTGATGACTGCAGCACCTTATGTTCCGCAATAATTAGGACGATTGGGAAATTATTTCGCCGAGTGTCAGTAGATATTGCATGCTTTTGAGTGCTTTTTTAATGTACAGCTCTGATTTCTCAGTGAGCAGATTTTATGGATGAGCATAATGTCGCAATTTTTCACTTTATCATATTGATTCTTTCCATTTAGTCTATATAACTGCTTAAATTGCTTAAAGTGAAGTACATTTTATCTTAGTGATGTAAAACTGGTACAATTTATACTGTTTTTATCTCTATAAGCCAAGCTAAAAGCTAATTACTGATTGAACGCAAGCTTTTGTTAAGTTTTACAAAGTGCATATATTGAATGACCTGTTTGTATTGCAATATACTATAATTGGTGCATAATGTACAAAATATTTCTTATTTTACAATTATCTTATAGTTTAAGGATTTTAAGTCTTAATTTAGAGCAAACCCTTAGAAAGAAAGCTTTTCACATTTTGTTACAAATTGTAGATTATTGGATTATGATTTATGGAATATGGTATGTAAAAGAGTGTGTTTAAAGAGTAAAGAAGTAAAAGCAACATATGTAAAGTTATCAAGAAGATAGCAAGTGATTAAGTTGTTATTAATGTAAAGCAATTAATTGTCAAGTCCAATGAAATCTGATTCAGATAATACAAAATTCTTAAATTAAAAAATAGTAAATATAAATTATATTCAATATATGCACTATATGTTTTCTCTTGCCTCATTTTGCGTATTATGTGCAAGCTTCTTGTATACATTTGTATACATTTGTTTAATTTATGTATGTAGTAGTATTGTCTAGTTACTTTGCACTTTTAAGCATTATAATAAGAATATTATAATATCCAATGAAATCTGATTCAAATAATACAAAATGCTTAAATTAAAAAATAGTAAATATAAATTATATTCAATATATGCACTATATGTTTTCTCTTGCCTCATTCTATGTATTATGTACAAGTTTCTTGTATACATTTGTATACATTTGTTTAATTTACATATATAGTAGTATTGTCTAGTTATTTTGCACTTTTAAATATTATAATAAGAAGGATCTTTTACTAAGGTATCATTGAATTTAATCAAATATTCATGTATAAAAAAATGTTTATAATTATATATTTAACTAATATGATGTGTGAGAGATTTAATTTTATATTTTATAAAAATAACATTTACATTTTAGAATAATCACTTTCAAGTATTTACATAGCAGAGAAGCATTTTTTTCTTTTCTTTTATATCTATTGAATGAATGTCTATCGTTAAATAATTTATTTTCCTTTGCTAGATGCGATGCAGATCCCGCTGCTTTGGCCAAATATGTCTACGCGTTGGTCAAGAAGGACAAAACTATGGAGGAGCTACGTAGTTGCATGGTCGAGCAGTTGGATGTATTCCTGCAACACGGTGCGTTTATACAAGAAAATTCCGTGAGAAAGATTGGAAATCTGATTGTCTTTCGTCCTCCCGAAATAGTGAAAGATACATTGCAATTGTTTTCAGAAACCAACAACTTTGTGGAAATGCTCTTCAAGGTACTGGAGACACAGGAATATGTGATTCCACCGCCTAAGAGCGATCCGGATGGTGGTGGGACACCACCTGGCGCAAACCCGCCAATCCCAATTGTGTCATCATCAACGGAGAAGATAATAGAGGCGACAATTCCACTAGTACCTATTATTACAAATCCTCCTGTCCCAATTCAAATTAATGGATCGGCACCTGCTGTAATTAGTAAACGCGAGACTAGGAAATCTGATTCCGATAAGGATAAAGAAAAGGAAAAACGATCTCGAAGCAGGTAATCTTTTTTTTTTCTTCGTGAAAAAAAAAACAAAATGCCTATATGATTCGATGCTTTGTAGTCGATGCTTGTGTAAATCAATGCTTATAAAACGCTCATAATTTATACGAAATAAGAAGGGCTTTAAAAGTACAAGAATTTTAGTACATCAAGTCTTAATAATGTTAAAATTTTAATCCTATTATCGTACTTTGTAAAATAGGAGTGGAAGAATGAGATCAAGAACACGGTCACGATCACGATCGTGGGAAAGGGACAGACGTAGGTCCAGAAGTAGAGAACACATCCGGCGTGATAGAGAAAGAGACAGAAGTCGTCCATGGCGAAATGAATCTCCACCGATCAGTACCAGACGACATGATCGCAGGTACGATCATGTATTTATATTTGAAACGTCTCCGATAACATTTAATGAAAATTTCAGTAAAACTTTTATTAAAGTGCTCTTTTTTTTTTTTTAATTAGCTATATCGAATCTCTTGTTCTTTAGAGCTTTTTACGATCCTTAAATATTTTACTACATATATCTTTATTTTATTTTATCTGCAGGCGTACCAGGAGTCGTAGTACATCGCCGATACGACCCAGGATACGTGACGGTCCAGACAGTCGCGATCATCGCGCGAGGTTCAGGAACAGATCTCCGACGCCGCTTCGATCCCGATCGCGTTCACGATCGATAGAACGGAAGAAGATCGATCGCTTCGAAAGGATAGAGGTAGATAGAACGGATCGAATCGAGGGAAGCCCTGGTGGTGGTACGCCGACTCAAGATAGTAATCACGGAGATGTAGACATGAGACTGTCTACGACTAGTCAATCGATACAAAGTGTTGTCGCCGTTGCGAGTAGTATTCCAAATAATCAGACAGGTTCTTTTCAACAACAAGCAAAGAGACGTTGCAGAGATTTCGACGGTATGTATCTCGACAGACATAGAAGACGGAATATAACTATTGTGTTCGAAAAAAAATTGCCATTCCTTTAAAGGTTTAGGCTGAAGATTATGAAATTTAAATGACTCTCAAAGTCACAAGGAACACATATATGATGCCATTTAAAAGTAAAATATTTATATTTATATTTATTTATATTTTTAATGGCGTCATGTATGCGTTTAAATATCACTTGCTATCTTGTTATATTTATGTTTTATATTTTTGTTTGTAGAAAAGGGATATTGTATGAGGGGAGATCTCTGTCCTTACGATCACGGCACAGACCCAGTTGTGCTCGAAGATGTGGCGCTCAGTCGTGTTTTGAGTTTCGGGCCGCATAGCGCTCAGGCCCCAGGAACAGTGCCAGTGTCCACGGTGCCAGAACCACCGCAGGGTCCTAACGGTAACCCACCACCGCCACATCTTCCGCTTGCCAGTTTACCACCACCTCACTTAAGAAACCACCATTCTAATATGGGTATGCGTTTCTACTGTAAATCTTGTAATTGTCTCATGTAATTTAACGTAATGTGGCAAAGCAATAATTTTTTTTTCGAAGAAAATTATATTTTTGACAGTACATATTTATTAAAAGAGGCATTATATATAGTGAAAATTACAAAATTCTGATAATTTTCAAACAATTTAAAAATATTAACCAAATTGTAAGCTATTAATACATGCATAAAATTTTGTGATTTGGACTCGAACTAAGATTGACAAATTACAAAAGAAAAACATCTATTAATTGTAATATAATTGTATATTATGGTATTATATGGTTTATAAGCGCGGTATTTCATATTTTTCTAAAATGTAATGAATTAAATATGTTAGATGCTTTTGCAGAGTATAACCCTGACGCACCTAGCATGGAACCACGAATGCCATGGAGACATCCGCAACCCGCGCCCGGGATTTACGGCAGGGGACAAAGGGAATTGATTAGTGTACCGGTTATTCCCCACACAAACTCGTCGGAAATAACCCATACCCAAAGCAATCCTCTAAAGCGCAAACAAACGTTCGACTTTAATCGTCTGGGACCGAAACAGAGAGTGGTGCATAATCCGGCCAATTGTTCCCTCGAACTGAAGAAGGTCCCGCGAAGCTTAAACAATATAACCCAGTTGAATAATCACTTTTCCAAATTCGGTAAAATTGTAAATATCCAAGTTAATTTCGGCGGCGATCCTGAGGCAGCGTTGGTTACCTTCCAGCTGCCGGTCGAGGCAAAGTCTGCTTACAGAAGCGCAGAGGCTGTGTTGAATAATAGATTTATTAAAGTATTTTGGCATAATAACGTCAATAATAATGCGGCTGGTGGGGCCATCGAGAATGTGCCACCGGGTAAGAATAGCACACTTTTTATTATCCGCAAATAAGTAAGACGTTGAATTGCCGAGCGCGATCTAGTAACGAGGAATTTTTGTCGTGTTTAGGATGCCGTCCCTCTGTGAAGGAAAGGTTAGGCGCCGCGGTGACGCTACCGGCAAAAACTGAGGATAACGAGTACGTGCCCACGCGCCGTTCGACCGAGGAGCAAGTCACGCAAGCCTTAGTTCCGACTTCACCTAAAGCCGCCGTCGTTCCTACTCGAGAGGACAAGGTCCTCGCGATAAAGAAAACGCAAGAGATATTGGCGGCCAAGGAAACGCTGAAGAAGAAACAGGAGGAGAAGCGTAAGGAGGCGATGAAGTTGACCGCCGATCTGCGCAAGAGGAAACAGGAGTTACTGGACAAGCATCTGATTGAGTTACGCGGCCTGATCGACAAGGCCGAGAAGAATCCGGAGCAAAAGGAGTCGATCATGCCGACGATAAAGGCTATGCAGCAGTCGGTCGACAATCTGCGCAAGGATCTGGCCGCGAACGGCCAGATTGGCGGTAGCAAGTCGCAGGTGAAGTCCAGGGAGCAGGCGCAGAAGGAGATACTGGACGCCGAGTTGGACTTAATGACCGCCCAGCAGGAGGGCCAGGACGCTGGCGAGTTGCAGAAGCGACTGAACGAGCTTCGCGCCCAAGCGGCCGCGTTGGGCTTGAACACGAATCCCGGCGTCGGTAGAGGCGCGAAAGTCAGTAGTCGGGTCGCACGAGGCACCCATGCCCTGTCCTTCAGAGGCCGCGGCAGAGGTAGTTTCGCCCATGTCTCGGTGGACCACCGGCCAACCAGTCTTCTAGTCTCCGGTTATGAAACTGAGGAGAAGGCGGAAGTCCTAGCGCATTTTCAAGTAAGACTTATTATGCATTCGTAATACTTGCAGTATCTTGATACATCGATCTCTTTGTTGCTCAAAAATAGCTGAAAGATGGATGACTTCTACAAAGAGATCTTACATGTATGCTATATTTATATTTTCTGAAATAGTTTTGTTTTTCACATAAGCTTTTTTTTTATCAGAAACGGATTAATATTAGATCAATTTAGATTTTTTTGGGAGGATAACTTATATTTTTGCATTGTTACAAATGTATGACTAAGGCTTCGTTCCCTTTATTAACATTTTAATAAACACACGGCATGCAATTAATATTACCAATTTTTCTTGTGCTCCAGCAATTTGGCGAAATAGTGAATCAAATAGTTGACGATGCCACACCTTCGATCGTAATCAATTTCAAATCGAGAAAGGAGGCTGAAGTGGCCCTTGTGAAAGGACGCACATTTCAAGATAGACTGCTATCAATAACTTGGGTGTCCGGCCATCATTTACATCGCGGAGGAGCTAATACTAATTCGAGCGCATCTATACAGCTCTCATCGCGTTCCGAACAAACTGCACCTACTGCAGACGAAGATATTGACTTGGAGGTAAGTTTCAGCCCACGACTCGTATAATTCTGATTTTAATCAAAATAATAATAAAACAGAATGTATAAATACTTACAAAAATTAACAAAATAATGCTTTGCTATATTTTGGAAATTTAGAATTTTAATCTCTCATTCTTTCATTCAAGATATATTTTATATTTTATTTTGTATTTTATATGATTGAAAAGATTTTTTCTATGGCTTTCGTTTAGATTTCGCAAATAGGCAGGAAGATATTTAGGAAGAATTTTTGTTTTATTTGTTTGAAATTTGCGTAAAACGCAGCACCCGATATGATGTACCATTTCTTTTATGTAGCAGATATTTAATTAATATAGGTTTTCTCTTTGCGATTAGATCATCTCCATATTTTCCGTTTCGCATTCCTTAAACGTTAAAGAGACAACTTGATTTTTCCAGGGCACGGAGGCGTTACTCTTAGAGGAGAACGAGGAGGAGGAAGACGAGGACGTGGAGTCGCGTAGCTGGCGGCGATAGCAGCATCGGCGTCACCGTCAGCATCGTTTGTGACAGGAGCTTGGTGTCAAATGTAACGACAGCGTGATCGTCCGGGCCGATCGTTGTACGCGACCTGGTACTTACGCCTACATTGCTGCACCACCGTTTGACGCATCCATTGCCATGATTTTCACGAAGGATTCGAACTACATCATGCTCATCATCAGCGTTATCATGAGTGTTACACTATTTGTTAATATTATTAAATATACTATACACATGCGCACCAGTGACAGTACGACGTACTATATTAAGCGGCGCATCCACAAATAGAGGGGAAAAAAAAAAGAAGGAAAGGATGAATCAACATGCGAGTTTCTCGAAAACAGGAATAATTAACCAAAATTTATCCCTATTATTTGTAGAATAAAATCGCTATGTTTTGTATGGGAAGAAAAAGAAAAAGGAACACCTGTCATTCTGAGTTTCACACAAGTCCTCTTCTTTTATATGCGTAGAACTCGAGTCGTTTTTCCTAGCTCTTTTTTTTTTTCCTTTTTCTTAAGGCTCGTTAACACGCTAGACGGACTTAGGATAAGTAGGAGCTTGTAATTTCGAGGATATATTCAGAACTTTTTCATTCGAAGATGAGGAAACTATATTTGTAATTTATACAATACAAATAGGTATCTATATTGTATGATTCAATCGTAACATCTCGCTCGATTGGCTGTTGACTTTTACCTATTGTACCTATTTAAAACGATTCTTGTAATAATGAGCAGTACAATGTATTATCCCTATTGTTCCTTTTTAAAAGATGTCAGTTTAGATTAGATTACTGAAAAATGCAATGATTCTGATATATGTATATATACATATATATCAGAAGTATTTCTCGCGCATATTTACATAAATTCTTTCAATCCAGAAACTAAAGCAGTAATACGTAATTCTTACACACAAACCATTCCATCCAGTTTCAAGGTAAGTATCGAATTATATATAACGATTATAAATAAAATAATTATTCGTACTCAAAATTGCTCGTTCCAAACGTAATCATTCCAGATAATTTCACTAATGAACGAAAAAAACTATTTAATAAAACATAAAAATGATCCTCTGCATCGAGTTTACTTAGTTAACATAAAAAGGTTCCTTAAAAGGTTTATAAAGGTATTGACAATCGATATATTTATTCAGTTTATTTTCTTTTTTGATATTCCATGCTTTATTTATATATCTAAACGTTTTTAACAATCTAATTAAATATCTTCTAAAATTTAATGTGAAGATGGTGCATAAGACAGAATGTTAGTTAAACCTGTGGAATAAAATGACGTAAATCTCTCTATAAATCGAATGTAGGCATCGTCGAGAGTAAGACACTTCAACTTTATAGCTTACGGAGCCAGCCAGCTGGCTAACAGGCTACCCAATAACAATTGTGCGACGGGTAATATCGTCAACGGCAAATTCACTTCCGGGCCGTGAGCTGAGCCGTGGTACGCCCCGCGCAAGATCCAACCGCCGAGACTAACAGACTTGTGAGTGCTGGTGAATAACGCAGCCAGCAGAATGTTTCGCGGTAGCCACTGGGAGCACAAGAGCCAGCACAAACTGCTGAGAAGGAGTTGGCCTAGGCACGCTTGAAAAGATACGTGCGGTGTTAAAGAGGCGAGAGGTGAGTCGAGAAATCAAGTGCGAGCCGAATAACTTACCAATAAGTACGCAGAACAGTACGTCCACCGCTTGCAACGACGAAGCATCTGCCAGAACAGCATCGCAGAACCAGTGGTACGCTATTGTCAGCAGTAAACCTTGGGAAAACCAATTCGTATTGACATTCCAGCATCTGCCCTTCAGTACGAACATCCGCAAGAGGATACCCGTTCCCAGTGGAATAAGCGTGCTGCATACAGTCTCTTTAATATTAATCCCGACTAATGGTGGAGTAGATGTTCCTAGCTGTTAAGAGAGATTATCATCTTATAATTTTTTAGAGCAGCTTTAAAAATAAACTAAAAAATTTTAAAAATAAACTCTATTCTAATTATAAAAATATATATTAAATAGCATAAATATAAATTGTAAAGATAAGCAGATTATAATGAGTATATGTAGTAAGTTCTAGTAAAAAAATATATTTTTGTTGGTGAAAGGCTTTACCATTAGATACAGTAAAAGAGGAGATAAGAATAAGCCTCCAAAGTGCGACACCAGCGTGGTAATTACGCTCGTAGGCAAATCAGCCTGTGCCAGACGGCACAGAGTGAGTCCCGTACTGAATGGCGGTGGCATACAGTAAAGGACCTGAAAGATATAATAATCGCGTTATATAATTAGCACCCTACAAATATATCTTTGTATAGGTATACCTATTTAATATACCTATGTATTAATTAATTACGGATTACAAATATTTTTATCAATATCACCTCTATCTTTACTCTCTATTTCAAGATATAATAATCGCGTTATAATTAGCATTCTACAAATATATCTTTTTATAGGTATACCTATTATTTAATATACCTACAAGGAGAGAATTTTTTTTTAATTTACCCTGCAAATCATGTTAATTGTGGTATATATTATTAAGGCAAATTTTACTGTGCACTACAATAAATTTTACTATGCACAACAATAAGATTTTACAGTAAAAT